TTCTAAAAAGAAAAGTTTGAACCACGTTAAAACAACTGTTAATACAACTTTTTGTTTGTTTGTTGATTTACTTTGTAAAATAATGTCTATTATATGTGTGTATATATATATATGTATATGTACATTTATATACACATATAAGTAGAATATATAATGTATTTATGAAAATGGAATTTTTCTTATTGCGAGAATTAATAGAGACTAGAGACACGGTAGTGTCTCGACGCTAAGACCAAGAGCAGCGACACTACCGTGTTACGTTACGCGAACCGGCGATTTGCGGGGTAATTTTTTACTCAACTTTTATTATTTCAGGTATATTTATGTTGTGTACTTTATTGAAAATCGTGATTTTATGATTTTATGTTATTTATATCATTAAATTCATAATGTCGTATTCAAATTTTGCTGTAGCATTTGGACCCAAATATGATTGGTTGTTCTATTATGCCACCGCCATTATGCGCAATGTAAAGGCCCATCTACAATACACGGAATAAGAAGTAATAGCGTTTTCGATTAACCCCGGATCTACAATAGGTGTTTTAAGCCTTAAGCCGTAAGAAATTGACCAATTACAGTCGAATCCGAGAAGAATAAACGACCGTGATTCGCCCATTTCTTATGGTTTAAGGCTTAAAACTCTATTGTAGATCCGGACTAATCCACAAACCACGCAGCTTTTTTTAATATCCGTGGAAGCAAAAATATTTAGATATTGACATATTTAGATATTGAATTCAATATTTAGACATTGACTTGTCTTCAAAATCTAATTTCAAGATATTCGCACATTTCCGATTTCAAGATACAAGCTAGAGATATTTTAAGATCAAAAGGACCGATTAATGCGTTTCAATACGTCGCGATGCATCTCGTCTCCGTGAAGCTGACACACCGCTCGCAATTGTTCCACAAAGATCTCTCGAACAATCTTCGACTATTCGCGTACTCCGTTCGCACGAACACGACAAACAAACGTAAGATGACGAGAATGCGAGTTTCTAAGCCCACCAATCCTGCCGGATAATTTTTCTTTTCAGGAAATACCACATTAAAATTTGCACAGATAGATTCATGCTGTAGCCAATTATTGTCTGAAACTGAAAGTGGTAAGTGATTTGTGTATACATTGCTAGGGGTGAAAAGCTTCACTTTATAGAAATATTAAAATTAATGATAAATTTCATTTCAGAAAATATAATGCCATGCAGTACAATAGTAAATACTACGCAAGAAAATTTCAAAAATGTACAAAAATTTGTCATAGCACATGAGTTCTTATTTTCTTCATCAGACAGTTCTGATGAAGAATTAATTAATAGTATCGATGATAGCATTGAACCTGATGTTCGCTTTGGTATAGGCCAGTATACTGTTAAAAAGAGGAAAATAGATACTTTGAACAGTGACGAAGAAATCGAGTAAAAAGTTCCGAAATCTTCAAATGTTGTTGCAGTATTACGAGATATTAATAACGAGAAAGAAAAACAGAAAGAGCGTCGACACAAAGAAAAGATAGAAGTTCTTCGAGAATTATTTTCCGCAAATAATAAGTAAAACATATTTTTACGAACATACTATTTACTTTTGTTTAGTTAAAACATATTTTAAATATTTTTGCATGTGCAATAATCACAATTTATTGGAATAATATGATTTTCCGTGAGTAAATACATACAACTCTTTCTATTGTTCTTGTCATTTAATGGCATTGTAAAAATTTAAATGTACGATAGGAAGAGAGCAATAATGATTGTTATTTCATAAGCAGTTAAGAATAGAAAAGACTTAACACTAAAGAACATGTTAAATGATATGAACAGCAGAAAGAGTTGTATAATGCTTAGCATATGCAATAAGTTCTATTATCATTTTTTAATTTTCATATATTTTAAATAAAAAATTAAATCAAGAACATACAACTACAAATGCAAGATGTTAGTTGTTACAGTCTTTTATTATAAATTATTAAGTTAAAATACTCTAGTAACTAACATCTTGCGTTTGTGGCTGTATGCTCTAGATTTAATATTTTATTTACAATGTTAAGTCCCTTTGTAATCCTATTAATAATATTTTATATATCGTTGTGATATTACATTATAAAAATTTAAATGTAAGATTTGCCATATAACAGTGTGATATTAATTTTAATGATTTCATAAGAGTTTGAGTTTTTTTTTAAATAATAAATCATACTGAAGATACTGTTTGTTAACAAACTGTTTAATGAAAGACTGTTACATTTAATAATAAACTGTTTAATGAAAGACTTTTACGTTTAAATTCATTTATATCAAATCAAACGCTATGCGATCACGTTTCATCTGTCCTAATATTCTTATTCTGTTATTACTATAAGTACATTGATGGATTGGAAATTGAAGTTCTTCATATTCATAATAGTCGAATATATCATTTTCCTCTATACATAAATTATGCAACACGCAGCAAGATATAATAAATTTGGACATTAATTTTACAGACCACATATCAAGTCTTGTCAATTGTCGGAATCTGCATTTTAATAATCCAAACGTGTTTTCAATTTTAACTCGCGCTTTACAAAAATGATAATTAAAGTTGGCTTGTACTGGTGTCAATTTCCCACTATATGGTGTCAAAAGATTTGTAGATATTGGATAAGCTGCGTCACCAATAATGTGGTAATAATCTCCCATTTCAGACTTTTTCTTTAATAAAAGACATATCATAAACACGAGCATCATGACATTTGCTAGACACTCCAGTAAAGCAGTCTATAAATCTTTTTTTTGCGTCGCATATGCCTTGTAATGTAAGTGCAGTTTCATCGTGTCTATTTACATAAGTATGACGAATTTTTTTGACAGGTGTTCTAATAGAAATATACGTGCCATCTATGCATCCTACAATTCCATCAATTTCACATATATTTCGAAATTCTTGAGCCTTTTCTTGATGTTCTTGTTCTGTTGCAGGAAATCGGATTATTGATGGAGCCAAATCTACTAAAAAATTTGTAACTCTTTTGATAATATGATGCACTGTGGCAATTTGCATGTCAAAACGATCTGCTACACTCCTTAATACCGTTTTATATATATATATTTGCAGCAAACCTATATATATTTTTAAAAAATATTACTCGAGCAGTATTATTTTATAAAACTGTTACATATTTAAAAATAAGTAAATAAAAAAATTATGTACCATACAAAAACTAAAATATGTTCTTTAGGTGTTTTATTATTTCTTCCACGAAGAGCGTTAGGACAATATTTGCTCTGTTTGAATAAATTAATGATTTTCTTACATATTCTTCTTGAAAGTCTAAATGTGCTTGAAACTGAAACAGCATAAAAATAACACAAAATAACCTATCAATTTAATAGTTACAGAATTAATAAATATATATCTATATTTACCTCTTCTGCAGTATATTGATCAATGACATCTCTAATAAAATGTTTTATTCGCGGTATTTTCCTCTTTTGCACTAACAGATATTGTAATTCTTCATCAGAACTGATGAAGAAAATAAGAACTCATGTGCTATGACAAATTTTTGTACATTTTTGAAATTTTCTTGCGTAGTATTTACTATTGTACTGCATGGCATTATATTTTCTGAAATGAAATTTATCATTAATTTTAATATTTCTATAAAGTGAAGCTTTTCACCCCTAGCAATGTATACACAAATCACTTACCACTTTCAGTTTCAGACAATAATTGGCTACAGCATGAATCTATCTGTGCAAATTTTAATGTGGTATTTCCTGAAAAGAAAAATGATTTTATAGTCTTAATACTATGACAATGTAGATTCATTAACGACAAAGGATATTATTAATGTTACAATATTTTTAACTAAAGACTTACCATCGCTATCCACATATTCGCACAGAATCCCTTCGGCAGTTTGAATCATTTTTCCGGATTCATCTCGAACAATTTTCATGTTTACGCTGTTATTTTCTGTAAAAATTATTATTTACAATATTTGTTACGATCAAAAATTTATATATCATTCAATGGTATACTAACATTTATATATCGCTCGTTTTTTCATAATTAACAATAATTATATTATTAACATAATATGAATTTCTTACCTAATCTATTCATTATAGAGATATATATATCGTTTGTTGACTCGCACAATTTTCATAATAAACAATCTCTGATTATTTCTGAGGTATCATTGAGGTTATAGAAGATAACTCTTCCGCCATGACACTGCGCAGGTCAATGCAAGTATTGAGTCTCAAATCGAACTTGTGATCGAAGTCAACC